CTAAATTGCGACACTTTTTATTTTGCACTTCAATACACACTCTAACACTACATGTTTCGGCCTCAAAGGGCTATCTTCAGGTGTTTTTTTTACATATATTCAATTAAGATTATGTCAAAAATTATAAATTTATATAAATAAAAATTAATTATAAAAGAATTTTATCTCATTTTAATTAAAAAGAAGACTACAGCATGTGGTTTTTTAACATGAATTGGATAGTGAAACAGTGTAGCAGTTTCGACACAATCGACACAGTAGTGTCTGCTATCACAGCTGCCTAACAGTTATAACAAGGAATGGGTCATGAGATGAACTGATTGGCAGTAAACCGCCAGTTGTCAACTCACTCTGCCTGACTCTGACTCTGACTCTGATAGAGAGAGTTCAAGTAGAAGACTAGANTATGTGAACATTTGTAGCAACACAAAAAACCATAATGCTTTGGATTCTGTCACATACAGCACATGTATTTGAAGTAATTACATATCAGTTAAATCCATATCAACTGATTTATTATTGTTCCAATTCCTACTGCTAAGCTTATGAATAAGGCATATTCCTCCCTGTGTCATAATTTTATATGGAGGTTAGATAAGAAAAATACAGACAAATATATTATGGGATTTGTTAAAATAGTCACTGTGTTTAGCCAAATGTTATTTTACTATATAATCATATTTTCAAAAGCATTTGGTCTTATGGCCCCAAAGTTAACATATTCCATATGAATAACATGATTCTTTATTTCAGCATCCTGTTGCAATTGTTCACATTAGGGTTCATTTGTTTTTAATCCATCTAAATTGCGACACTTTTTATTTTGCACTTCAATACACTCTCTAACACTACATGTTTCGGCCTCAAAGGGCTATCTTCAGGTGTTTTTTTTACATATATTCAATTAAGATTATGTCAAAAATTATAAATTTATATAAATAAAAATTAATTATAAAAGAATTTTATCTCATTTTAATTAAAAAGAAGACTGCAGCATGTGGTTTTTTAACATGAATTGGATAGTGAAACAGTGTAGCAGTTTCGACACAATCGACACAGTAGTGTCTGCTATCACAGCTGCCTAACAGTTATAACAAGGAATGGGTCATGAGATGAACTGATTGGCAGTAAACCGCCAGTTGTCAACTCACTCTGCCTGACTCTGACTCTGACTCTGATAGAGAGAGTTCAAGTAGAAGACTAGAGGTTTTACCTTGAAAAGAGAACTACAGCGTGTGATTTTAACATGGACTAAGACAGTGTAGCAGTTTTAACATGACTTAATAAAATTGTAACATATCAAGACACCTGAAGATGGCCGTTTGGGGCCAAAACATGTCGTGTCAAAGTGTATAATATTAAACTAAAATTAAAATTAAGTAGTGAATAAACAAGTATTGCGATATTGACGGACGATAAATACATGGACATTAAGATTGTATAGTTTTCTTTATCTGTAGATTTACTTGAATAGGGCACAAGAAACTAGGTTACTGTATTTGGCTAATGTTACTTAGAATGTAAACCTGATACAGACTGCCAATCTAATGTTGGGATATGCACCTTTCTGTTACACCTGAATTTAATTAACCTTAACACCTTCATACCTTAAGAAATTTAACCACAAATACAGTGTTCTTTCCTGAAATTGTCTCTGATACTCGTTTTTGAAAACAAAACATTGACTTGTGATATATGAAAAGTACCTTTAAATATGTGACTGATTCCTGTATATCATTATGCATGTTTAGGTATTATATTTTTTTTTCCCCTTAGGTATTTCCATAACAAGTTAATTTATTGTAGGTAAATTTCATAATTATTATTTATAATTTGAGTTAGATGGTTCAGAGGAAATTTTGAATGTTTGGTTACATAACAGAGATTGTTAAGAGTCAGTAGTTATTGTAAGGGCCTTAGTCAAACGTTCAGGCTGTTAGCATTGAGGACAGGGCCCTTTGGAGGGCATAGTGGAGTGCACAATCACCTTGTAGTGGTCTGAGAGCTGGGGGTGACTGGATTTTATCTCGCCCCCAATTTCAGTACAGAATACTTGAAAGAAAAGGAAACAAAGATTTTGTTCACTCTTGTAGACAGAACAACGGGATTTTCCTATAATTTTCTTTGAACTGTAAGCGTGACACAATTTCTGTGATATAATTTGGCTTGTCAGTACCCAATAGCCAGAACATGTTGGAGACATTTTACTGACCGAATTAAATTAATTTCTTGTGTTTTACAACATGCTGTAAGTGACTGGTGGGTGTCTGAAGTGAGTTCCACGTAAAAACAGTGAAAATCAAATTTTTTCATAATACCTGATACATAAAATTGTACTTCTTCATGTGTGAAGTGTTTGAAACCATATCAGAAACTTTGATGAAGTTATCTTGTGGTTCAATGTATATCAGACTGAAATATGGCAGAGTTTTTGTGTGCTTATTACATTATGCAGTTAGGATCACTATTTTATGACCCGCAACACTTTGCACATATTTTATTTTGCAATATACTCCTGGTGAAGGGATGTGTAATGTAATGCATTTTATTTGTAACTTCTTCTGCTGTTGTAACAGACTTTATTTTTGCTATATGTATCTTTCATTCATATACTTAACACCAGTCAAATTAAATCAGACTTACAGATTACTGAGAAGAATAGTCAGGGCTATTTTAATAGCTAACCTAAATAGATTGACTTCTGACCAAATATTTAGTTATGTAGTATCTCCACAGTTTTTCCAAATAAGTTATTTTGAGATAGTATGCAGAATAATTTTGTATCTGTTTAGTACCAGTTTTTATGGTGGAAGCTGATTACAGCTGTTACTGCCTAGTGCACCTTAAGGTGGAAAATAATTTCTGTATATGATAAAAATTCAACATCAAGATATTACCAGAAATGCTGTATCAGAGGCCGCTGGCCTTTCTTGCACCTTTAACTGACAACATTCATTTGACCAGGGCTGGAAATGAGGGTAGGCATGGATAGACTTAGTTAGACACTGTATGTATAGTTCTAGAGCTTCTCTTTAAGAAGCAATTTCCAGTGAAATTGGAAATAGATGCACTGTATGTACAGCAACAGCTTTAAAATTCATGTTCATCATTCTCTGGGAATTTCAGCTGATGATCAAGTGTCTTCATATGTCTGAAAAGTCATTTCCACGCCTGTATGCGACTGCCTTTTCTTTTCCTTTCTTTAACATAAGGCATCCATTTTCTGTTCAGAATATGCAAATGAATGGTCAAAGCCCCAGGTGTGAGCTAGGTATTTCAAGGAAGAAGGGAGTAGTCTGTTACTATGTGTTTCCCCAATTTATTTCTTTAGTGACATATTTGATATCTGTTTTCATTCAACCGCTTCTTGTTTTAATAGCTGTTTTTTTTTTTTATTGAGAAATTTAGCAGCCATTTGTATTTGTGGTGGTGTAAGAAATCCAGTTCAGGATGTCTGTAAGTACAATGTCTTATTAAGGATGTGGTGAAGCATATTGAAGATTCTTTTTTCCTTGGCACTACAGCCCCAGTGGGCCTAGGCCTACCTCCATGAACTTCTCCATTCACTTCGGTTTTTCTAGATCTTACACATTCGGTAGGACTCCTTGGGCGGGTGATCAGCTCATCGCAAGGCCTCTACCTGTACACAAACACAGAAAAACTCACACACACAAACTAAACATCCATGCCCTGAGTGGGATTCGAACCCATGATCCCGGTTTCCAAGCGAGCGAAGACAGTACATGCCTTAGACTGCTCGGCTCCCGTGACCGGCATATTGAAGATTAATTAGATTAAATAATTATGGAAAATATGCTAATTTATAGGTTTGAAGTGACAGACATTGATGTTATGTAGCAGAAATGCCTTGTAATATGAATTAACTATCGAAAATACAGGTTTTGAATGATGGGCATTGATTTTTATATGGCAAGAATAGTTTATAGTGTAAACTAAGTATTACAGAGGCAATCAGAAATCAATTTAAATGTTCCAGTAGTGATTCAAACAACTTTATTTACATTGCTAAGGTCCATCATTGAAACATTTTTTTCATTTTATGATTTAGAATGGTCAGTATGACAAATTTGAATATTCCTAACTGAATTTTTATTTTACATTCCATATAGTGTTTTCTTTCTAAACAGTTAATTACACAGAATTCAGTACCTCATATTTCAGCTGTGTTCAAGATATTTTCAGTATTCTCAACATTATTTTAGATTTATGACAATGATTATCAGCAAAGGAATGAGATTATTTTAGCAATTTAATATGGTTTAATATGTTTGTCATGTCTATATACAGGTGTCAATTTAAGAATATTTTTACAGAAATATAATTTGTGTCTGATATTTAATTAAAACGAGAATAGGATGTTATATTTCCTAATTGAAAGGGTTTAACCATATGAAGTAAAAATCGGTGATAACATCTCAAAGAAATTTACTTTTATAGGTGGTAATTCAAATCTTTTCATTAAAGACGGGCAAATGATATGTATATATATAATCTTTTCATTAACTGTCATAGTTTTGACTAGATTAATTCTGAGTTATAAGGCTCACACACAAGTGTAACTTCATTTTATCACTGATTAGAATAGGTAACATGTTCATTAATACAGATAGAAATGAACCACTGGAACTTAAGACACTTGTCCAGGATAAAGGAAATGCTTTATGCCTATTTGTAATTTCTATACTGGACTCCAGACTTTTGATAAGAGCCGACATATCCCTGATCTTGTTTGAGCTATGCTTGTGGTCTTGTTTCTGTATATTTTACAGTGTTAAAAGTTCATGGAGCTGTGTAATTTCCTTCATAGAATGGGAATAATTAGACATGCAGAGATTATGTTTCCTTTTGAGTTGTTAGAATTTTAGTCTTACTTTCAAATGAGTTGTCTAATCGCCCTAATTTGCACATTGTAATTCCATTGTCTTAAGTTTATCCTGATGTTTGTTTCGGATACTTATATTAGAACCTGTAATTATTTCTGTCTGGGATTTACTCAGTACACAACATTTTTATATTTAGCAGTCTCATACATGTATATCAAGATGTAAGCATTGTGAATTTGTAGTTTTCATTACAGAAAGAAAAATGTTCACAAGTGCATTTCATTACACAGCTGGTAACACAGATAAAATATATAAGGAAGTATTCCCTCCCCATTGTTGTACTCCATTTATGTTACATGAACAATATGCAACATTTTTTTCTTCCTTTTTAACTCTTGCATTGCTATGTTTACAAAACACTGACTGCTCCTCCCAGTCAAATTTTGCCTTGATTACCATATTTTTAGCACAAATTCCAAAATGAGGTTTCTCATACTGGGCCAGAAGTACATTTAGGGATGTTTAAATTTGATTAAAGACTTGAGCTTTATGCATATCAGAAGTATTAAGTGGATATGTCTTGAAGTATAAACCAAATGTAATTGTACATACAAATCTATCTACTTTCAGGATATATTATTTTTGGATTAGTCTGAATACACTATACAATATGTTTAAATATTTATACATATTTATTTCTTAGTGTAATCATTAAGTTGTCTTTGATAACTTTCCTACAGAGCTGTTAACTGTCTTTGTCATAGTCTCATTCTCTCTGCCCTTGGCTGTTGTCAGTTGGTGGCTGTCTGATCCTTGATTCTTATCAGATGCAGGTTTTTGCTCAGAGTCTGCTGAGACCTATGGACAATAACACACAGTTACATGACACTGCAGCAATATTGTGTTTGAAGCAAAGCATCTGCTACTTTTGTCCACTTTTAAACAAAACTGGAAGTGTCCAGGTCACAGAGAAGTGAATAGGCATGACCCCCAACATGAGGCATTCTTTTTTACTTTGTATAGAATGACTCAGAATGTCACTACTGAATTTTAGAAGTTTTGAGTGACTGTAGTATTCTTATGGATGAGATTACCCTACCAAAATTTGGGTGAATTTCTTCAAAGTTAATATTTCTTTGTTTCATTTATTTTTGTCACAAATAAGTAGTACAGTTAAACCATTTTGAATTTGTAATAACTTGATTAAACTCATTGATTCGGAGCATTACTTTCATGAAAATGTCATTAGCTGATATATTTTATGATCTACTAATAGGCAAATTATGAAGCTTTGAATGACACATGGTAATATGACTGTGGACTGAACTGTATTTTGTATCTTTGATTTTGCAGCCCTATAGCAGGTGGGTGCCTGTATACTTTTGTAACTAGGTAAACACTTGCCATGTCTCCACCAGGAGAGGCTTGATTCAGCATCAGAAGATGGTGCAGCAACTGGTTCCCAGAGGAGCCCTCCAGCAGTCCTTCCCTAGCAGCACTCACTAGCTGGGGCTGCTCTGCCAGTGTGTCAGTCAGTGATGCAATAAGCACATCTGTAAAGTCACAAATTAGGTAAGCAGAACTTACCCTAGCCTCAGACAATTTTAGCAGGCCCATTTATACAGTTTATTCATTCTTATGAGTAGAGCTAGGATTTTTATACAAGGGTTGGATAAAAAGTAGTGGCAACACTGCTGTAACATGAAAGATGTGCGTCAGGTGGCACAAGTGCCGTCTGTAGCTGATAGCAGAAGTTCAGTTGAAGTAGTGCAGTGAGTGGCTCTGGTTGTGTTCCATTGAGTTGCAGTGTGCGTCATCTTGAAGTGCAGGAGTCCAGTTCAAGCACCCTAACAACATGTTTATGAAACGAGAACAACGCTCCTAGGTAAAAATTGAAGTTGCATGAGGTCGTAGTGCACAAAACTGTTATCAGGGACTGCGAGAAGCATGTGGTGATGCTGCTTTGCCATATTGCTCAGTGGCACGATGGGTGAAATTGTTCCATGAAGGGTGGGATGCCATTTAGGACAGCCATCGTTCAGGATGACCCCATGTTGACAACCACAGAATTCAGCTTCTTGCTTCTTTGCTGGGTGTCGATCATCAGTGGGCTGCACAGTAGTTACCTGCTGAAGTAGGCATATATCACAAAACCGTGCTCCACATTCTGGACGATATTCTTGGATACTGCAAAATTGCAGCGCGTTGGGTACCCCATACAATGTCCAAGGTGCAACAATGGCAATGATATGCAGTTGCACAACACTTGTTTTACCAGTACCAGAAAGAAGATGACGACTTCCTTGGAAGAATCGTCACTCTGGACGAAACTTGGGCTTGCTCATATGAACTGCACTTGAAGCGACAATCAAATGAATGGAAGCATCCTGGCTCTCCTCGCCCAAAGAAAGTGCTCCCCGCCCAGAGTAATGTGAAGGTGATATTCATTGTGGTATATGACATTGGTGGAGTGATATTGCACCACACACTACCTCAACAACAGACAGTAAACGCTGCCTACTACTGCCATTCCCTGTGTAATCATCGTCATCCAGCACTCAGGAGAAAGCAACGACACTTGTTGCAATGAGCCCCCTCATCCTTCATGACAATGCAAGGGCTCATACTGCTGATGCTGTCAAGGATCTCCTTCACCGCTGGCGATGGGAGATACTGCAACATGTGCCATACTCACCCCATGTGAGTCTGCGATTGTGATCTCTTAGCCAAAATGAAAGAACCACTGAGAGGGACACGTTACAACACAAGAGAGGAGATTATTCGTGCTGTAGGGCGGTCACTGCTGGACATCAACAGAAGTGGATGTGCTGATGGTGTATGACGCTTTCACAAACTTGGCAGAAGGTGGTACACATGGGGGGCGATTATATTGAAGGGATGTAAGTGTGTTTACCTCAGGTAATAAAGTCATTTCAGAACCATAGAGGTGTTGCCACTACTTTTTATCTGACCTATGTATAAATACATATTGTATATCCTACTATGTAGATGCTCAAAAAGTAATAATCTCCATGAATGACAACATTAGCATTTGTACATCTGAATTTTATTCTACATGTATTTACATATTTTGGCATTTCCAAAAGACTTTCTGCAGTGACGGGGAAATCCGGAAGGAAATATCTCGGTTGTAAAGCAGAGTAAACCACAACCCCCAGACAATTCTGCTCATTAGTGTGACCGGCATGTTGGGCATTTTTCTAAGAGTTGAAATGGTATTCCTTTGAATTGCAGTTAGAATCCCATCCTCTCTCATGAAACATACTCATCCACTCCTAACAACTTGCATTCTTGTCCTGAAAATGTTGAAAGTGATTTTCATTTTAATTTTGTATGAGTTAAGTTCAAGTTTGCACACTTGATTTGTTATGGCACCTATTGCATCATCTTTGGCATCAAAGTTAAATTTATGGATAAAAACAGAATGTTCCTTTACAGTGGACAATAAAATCATAATATGGCTGGCTTGCAACAAAAATATTGGATGTTCCATGAAATCACAATTGGAGCAACATGTACAAAGCCTGCTACAAAGAACGAGCGACTGAGTTCTTCGAAGAAGCAAGTGCTCTTTAACACAGATGCAATAATCTTCGACCTCAAGAAATTAATTCATCAGGGATATGTGCAGTCGGATGGTGTCCATAAGCATCCCGTTTTTGAACTCCAAATGCTCGAATTTGGCCGTTTTTGGAAAAGTGCTGCAAGCAACATATTCCAGACCAGTGAACACTTCAGAAACATTATCTGCTTATCTGCTATGAAGAAACCTTGGAAAACTTAAGAGGTACCATAGGAGGTGCCTTTATGTAGGTTGCTGTGGATGAAACAGTGGATTCCATGGGTCAGTTTATCGTGAAACTTGTGGCTGGCAAGTTAGGCATTGAAGTTCCTTCTAATCCACATTTCATTATTCCAATGTTCTGCACCATACAAATCATTCCACTGTTGCAGGGTTTGTGAATGATGGACTTAGTGGCCTACCAGAGTTCACGAGGAGGTGTTGATTTTGTATTCAGATGCTGTGGCATATATGCTGAAAGCTGCAACTGCATTGAAAGTGTTTTACCCTAATTTGATTCATTTTACTTGCCTGGCTTATGGACTGCTGAGGAGGTCAGAGCCAAGTTCCCCCAAGTGAATAAATTAATTTTTATGACAAAAAAATATTTCTGAAAGCCCCACATTGAGTGATATTCTCCAAGATGCACTCTTGCTCCCTGAATCAGTGCTAATGAGATGGAGAACCTGGATACAAGCAGTCACCTTCTAATGTGAACAATTTGAAACTGAAATCAGCTGTAACCAAGTGCCCATCTGAGTGTGCTGTTTTGTTGCATGAATCGCAGAGTGCATTCAGTAATCTGAAAGTGGCCTGTGCTTGTATCTGAAGCAATTTCAGCTGGCTTCTGGAGAGCATAAAATGTTAAGAAACCTAGGGATTTCCTCTGCAAGAACCTATGTACATAACAAAAAATTCAAGCGAAAAGCTCAGTGTTGTGAAATGGGAGGCTGCTGAAAGTGTGTCCACCAAGTTGCAAGGGGTGTTAAAATGAAATCCTGGATTTTCTACATTTACCAGTGTCTGTCAGGTACTTGATGGAGACTATGTAGATCCCCCTGTAGACATTGCTCCTGAGAAAATTCCTTTGTTAAAATATGCAACAGTGACATCTTGTGATGCAGAGAGATCCTTTTCAGCCTACAAACACGTTCTGTCACATAAAAGACAATCGGTGACTCCAGAAGATATGGAAATATTCCAATTGTGTATTGTGCATAAAAAAATCAGTGATTGTGCCAAAAGATTGGAAATAAAGGTTGCTTGCAAAACTAAATATTACTTTTATGTGATGTTATATACTTTAATGAATCCACATATTTTACTGCACATTTCAGGGTTTCTTTACATAATTATGTACATATTTTGCATAATACTTCATAAAAAGCCTAGCTCTAGTGATAACACTCCAGCTGTCCTTAATCACAACAGTATTAAAAGTTAGTTTATTATAGTCTTCCATCTAGGTATATTTTACATGAATTAGTTACACTAATTAAAATGTGTTTAAACATGTGCACAAAAAATATGGAAACTCTAATATTCACTTTGAATTAGCATGTCAGATCATTGCACTCTGTAGCTGCCAGTTCTATAAGTAATTCAGGTATATCAGTATTCTACATACATTTTGTATTTTGTAATGTGTGGGTGATCATAACATCACTGTGTCTGTCCATATGTATGTACCTAATAATGCTATTCTAATAAGGGATGGTCAGATCAGACATGTTGAAACCTGCCCTGCAAGAGTACACACAACAAAATCCACTGTCAAAATTTTAGCTGCTAATACACACTTCAAGTATTTTTTAAAAATTGCTGAACATGGCCAATATTGTAGCCTGCCAGGCCCTTGGAGAAATGTCCACCCCTAGCAGGGCCAGAGCAGAGCAGTACGCAACATGCAGCACGGCTGACTCACAGCCTAGGCTGGGGTTGTATAAACCTCTGGTAGAAGTGGTTCCGCGTACAGAAAAAATTAGTAATTTCGGCAGTGGAAAAAAAAAAAATCAGGGCAGGTTTATACATGTCGGATCAGACCATTCCCTTGTATGTTAGATTAGGGAGGATTTGTGGGTTACAGAAATTATCCTGACTAATATTAGCAACATGCTTGAAAACTTCAGAATGTTCTGTCATTCCTGCTACTTATTGTTGAACACAGAGGAGGTGGGATATCCTCAGCATGTGAGGGCAAACTCATTTTTGAGCTAATAGAAGTTATCCCTTTGCTTATGACCACAGCATGAAAACATGTAGAGGACATGGAGGTGAAGATTCACACATGCTTAACATGCACACTAGATGGACGTGAATTGTGAGCTCCATGCTTTGACCATTTTTGTCCTGGTTAAAGGAGTCTCCAGTGAACATGGAGAGTTAGCTGCTGGGTCAATCTGGATTGTCTACTCTGAGAGCTCCATTGTAATTGGACAAAATCACACAGTAATAGTACCACTCAGAGGCATATGCAGCCCTGAGACTTGTTAGTTTTTTGCGGTGGGAAACTTCTCCACATAACCACACACAACCAAATCATAATTTTTTACATTATTTCACCATTATCTATTATTAAATTGGTCTAACCAAAGTATGAATGTAAAGTGTAATTATACATAATCATCCAGATCAGCTCTGGGATTTCCCTCCAGCCTTGTATCCATGGGGTATCTGAGGAAAAGCATCAAGGACATGAAGCTGACTGCTCATGTCTGTCTAGTGTTCAGACTAAGAATGTGTTGTTAGGAGTACATACCAAGGACTTTCTTCTCAAGGCTGCGTGAGATGTGCCCTTGCTCTGCCTCAGCCTGTAGGAAACTTGTGAATTTCTGCAGGGCTTCCTGTGCCTCAGTGCTTCCTGCAAGACATGTATGAAGTGCCTTTAAGGTAGGAGCAGGGTGCGGCTGCTTGGTATTTTGCTTACCAATGTATAATACAGTATAAGGCAGCAGAGTTCATTCGGCCCCGCGTTTGTTTTCAAACAGTCATCTGGAGAAAAAGCGAAATCTAAAGAAAACACATAAAGACAAAAACCATAGGAAAGTAAAGAAACTAAAGGAAAAGGAGAGGACTGAATGATAAAAAGGAAAAGAAAGGGAGACGGCATAGAAGTAAAGTAGGCGCGGTAAGAAAAGAGAAACGTGGAAAGAAAAGGAGAGAGAAGGAAAATAGAAAACCAAAGGAAGGGAAGATAGATGAAAGAAAAATGAGGATACAGAAAGACGGAAAAACAAGAAATAAAAACAAAAGAATAGGTCATCATATGACCTGAGAGACAGAGTGAGAGAGAATAAAGACCTGAAGGCAAACAGAAGAAGGGATGATAGAAAAAGAGGAAGCATGCAAAATGAAACAAATGAAGTTAAAAATTGTGAGATGAATAAAGAACCAGGCAGAAGTGACGAATGTAAATGGATTTAGAATAAAGAGGCAGGAAGATTTAGAGAATTATGCTCCTTATTCTTTTGTGGTGAAGCCTTTTGTGAGCGAACAGAAACTGGAGGCATCTCCAGTGATCTTTGCTTGAGATACTGAACTATGTTTTGCTGTATGATGCTGACCTCTGTTTAGTGACTGAGAGAACATGACTTTGGCGAGCTGATAGATGACTTCTTCCAGGGAGTACTCTGTGTACAGGAAGTCTGCCACCCGCAGTCTATCCAGCAGCTCCTCGTAGTCCTCATCCAGCACCTGTTGCGCTCTGTCAACCACTGAAATAACCATAACTTTCATTATCTCCACATTTTGGACACAATAATTGATATCCTTATACCTAATTAGCTTATGGGTCTTAGAACGTAATACAGAGTGAATCTTATAGAACCGGCCTGATGAATTTGCTAATAATTCCGCAGGTGATGCATATAACCGCTCACAATTACGACATAATAATCCGTGGGACGTGCTGCGGCGAATGGTGTGCTCATGATCCAGCAAGTGGCAGCCCTTATACTGCAAGGTCAAGGACAATCCCGAAACGTGTCTGCAGTGCGCAGGCGACAGTCATGGAGTTCACTGTTGAACAGCGAATGTGTCTAGTGACTACTTGAAAACGGCGGATACTTTCAACACCTGCTCTGATCACGGCACACAATCCCAGATAAGATATGTGTAAATTACTTTAATATCTGTATGGTATATTTTATATTACACCTCATTTCGTCGGGCCGGTTCTATATGAATCACCCTGTATTTCACCTCCTGCTTGAGTAAGTTCTGCCGGAATTTGATTACCACCTGGCGATTTATACATTTTCAATTTTGCAGTAGCATTTGAACCTCAAGAGGGCTAGGATCAGGTACTAATGGCTCAGCTATATGTATTTCTATCTGCTAATATTACTGATCCTATGTACAAGGGGCAGTCAAATGAAAACGGGTCACCACGCATAATTCAAACGGAGCGCAATTCGGTAACACTGGAATTTGCTTATGGTACGAACATCTGGTGGGGACTCGGGAAAGCACAGTGACAACGTGCCCTTGCACACTAGTCGTTTGTTTATTGTGCTGGAAGTAAGGTTAGCGCTACGTTTGATCGTCCAGCGTCAGTAATGGAGGCAGGTAGAGAAGAACAGCGAAGTGTAGTGCGCTTTTTGACTGCTGAAGGAGTCGGAGGAACAGAAATTCATCGTTGCATGTCTGTTGTTTACGGCAAACACAGCATGCCACGTTCACATGTGCTGGCGTGGCATAAGAGATTCTGAGAGGGACGTGTGTCACTGCAAGACAGGCTCATCGTGTCATCACTCCTGATGTTATTGCTGCGTTGGATGGTTATATCCGGGCAAACCGCCGGATCACTGTGGAAGAAATTAGTCTTTTGATGGGAATAAGTCACGGTTCCATACACGCCATTGTGACAAAACACCTGCTGTGCCGCAAAATCTGCGCGCAGTGGGTTCCACATCAACTCACGGTGGAGCAGAAGACTCAGATAATGGCTGCATCACTGGGTCACTTGCAACGATACCATGAGGAAGAGTATCATTTTCTGTCTCGTATTGCCACTGGAGACGAAACTTGGTGCCACCAATATGTTTTGGCTTCTGACCCGTTTTCATTTGACTGCCCCTCATACATTCAATAGTTGAGAGAAATAGTTCTTCCATCTATTCAAAATATTATGGGAATCTGCAAGCAGATCACCATTCTTATCCTTCACTAAGTTACTTCTAGGTTGGTAACCCCTCTTAAAGTCATTTATTCCTCTATACAGGTCTCTAATGTTCTTATCTTACTGTTCGTAGCAAGCGAACCTATTTGAGGTTTCAACACGATATTGCTCTTTGCCCTTTACTTCGTTAATTTCTTGAAATTGAACCCCTCAAAGTGAAGTCTTTGCGTTGTTGTTTATGCTCTACCAGTCTCTCCCTAACTTCTGTCACCACTAGATAATGGTCAGTATCACAATCTGCTGCCCTGAACGAGCGGACATCAAGTGTACGTGTACTTGAATGCCGTCTCCTGTCTCTCAAAATACGATAAATTTGTGTGCGTCTTTCCCATCAGGAGATGCCCAAGTAAGTTTATGAATGTTACGATGTGGGAACATTGTGCTTTTGGCAGTAAGATTTTTGGATGTGGCAAAGTTTACTACTCTAACTCCATTATCATTACTTACGTATTTCATGTAAACTCTCATTTCCAATTGCTGGTTTGAAAATGCCGCCCTTACCGATTATGGCATCGAAATCTCCTAACAAAATTTTAATGTGGTATTTAGGGAGTTTATCAAATACATTTTCTAGTTTTTCTTAGAACCTGTCCTTCATATTGTAAATTTGTTCTCTGTTGGGGCATGAACATTCAGAATAATGATATCACACCAGCGACCTCTTAGTATTATGTATGACATTCTATCACTAATAAACTCCACCTTCATAACTGCTGATATGATTCTCTTATGTATGAAAAAATGAGTACCAAATTTGTGATTCTTCTTCCCCCTTCCATAGATAAATGTATATTCGCCTGCTGTTTCGGTGACACTACTGTCCCATCTGAGCTCCAGTATTCCCACTAAATCTAACTTATATTTTGAGATTTCTTCCACCACTGCCATGAGCGAACCTGCCCTACACATACTTCTCTAACTTTCGAAATACCAAATTTCATATTAATTTTCTTTCTCTTAGGTCGTTTATCCAAAGAATCCACCCAGGTCCGAAGCGTCTTGTGATTTTTCGTATTTGTAACAAGCTTGTTTTTCACGGTGAGGAGTTGTTAGCCTCAAGCTAGAGGACCACCCCTTGTCGGTTGTCCGTGACAGCTTATTCAATATATTCGCAGCCACCCTCAATATATGGAGGGCTAAGCAACGGGCTAGGCGACCAGAGAATTGATGTTCAAGTCCGTGTTTAGAGCAGATATTTTTCTCTTCATGACAGTGCCCAAGACCTGCCCTGGGGTCTTCACCCAGCCTTGTATCCAGTGGTAGCGGGGTCTGTTCCACTGAGCGTAAAGCTGACCGCTCACTTCCATCTAGTGCCGAGGTTAAGAATGCATGTTGCTATACCTCAATCATCCCTGTATGTTTTTATTTCCTGATGCTGAATTAATCACAGGGGCAATTTTGTATTCACTTCGAGATATGGTTTCAAGTAAGCAGTGAACTACTCTTCAGTAACGCAAATTATACAGATTGAGTACATGGAGCTGAGCCTTTCTTGAGAAGCCGCCAGTTGCTCAGTTACTCGAGAATTTCCCAACATTTTACGAAACCGAAGGTTCATTACCCTGTTCACGAGAGCTCTCCACTGGTCTCTGTCCTGAACCAGATCAATCTAGTCCATAGTTCCCAATCCTATCTCTCTAAGATCCATCTTAATATTATCCTCCCATCTACGCCTCGGTCTTCTTAGTGGTTTCTTTCCTTCTGGATTTCCCACGAAATCCTATATGCCTTCTTCTTCTTCTTCTTCTCCCCCGGATTATGCAGATTGAGCCCATATTTGAAACATGCTGGATACCCATTACGTGACATTTAAGCAGACGTATTTATTGGAATGGAAGATCATCAGTTAGAGTAACGGTAGTTCTCAGTATAATGACTAGGTGTTTGGCTGGACGCTCAGAGTTCGATTCCGGCAAGGTGAGGGAGTCATCTCCTAGGCAACAAATCCAGACTGGCTCTGGGGCCCATTCAGCCTTCTTTGACTTGGCGATTTGACTGCAGGCGAAAGTGGCCACTTAGCTCCGTCTAATGTCGAGATTAATAATACGTGAAGCTATACCTCCACTTCCCCATACGTCGCCATAAATTGGTGCCTAAAGAAACACAGGGATTATAAACTTTATGATGGTATGTGCATTTACATACATCATTTCAATATTGCTTTTAATTTAGGCTTCAAATAAGTTATAGGACTATTATGATGACAAGTAGGGTTGTAATGAGCAAATGCTGGAGTTTAAAAATTCAGTGTTTTACACGTATATTCAGTATGTTTAAAGTTACTTTACCTGTGGTTTTGTATGGGTATGAAACTTGGTCTCTGACATTCAGGGAGGAACATAGACCGAGGGTGTTCGGGAACAGGGTGCTGAGGAGAATATTTGAGTCGAAGATATATGAAGTGACGGAAAGTTGGAGAAAACTACATAACGAGGAGCTTCATGACTTGTACACTTCTCCAAGTATAATTAGAGTAATCAAGGCAAGGAGGATGAGATGGGCAGGACGTGTAGCGCGAATGGGGTAGAAGAGGAATGTATGTAGGATATTGGTGGGGAAGAGGGAAGGAAGTAGACCACTATGAAGACCAAGACATAGGTGGGTGGACAATATTAAAATGGATCTTAGAGAGATACAGTGTGATGGTATTGACTGGATTGATCTGGTTCAGTATGTGGACCAGGGGAGAGCTCTTGTGAACACGGTAATGAGCTTTCAGGTTCCATAAAATGCTGGGAAATTCCTGAGTAGATGCACAATTGGCGGCTTCTGAAGAAGGGTTCAGATCCATGAGTGAGTGATGTTTACAGCTATTTTCACTTTTTATAAATATCACAAAAATTAATTGAGTAACTGTTAATGGACGCTATAAACAACGCCAGACTGTATTTGCGCCATCTTTCCATCCAATGAGATCCTCTGTCCGAATGATTATTCATCTCTTTTTACATTTCACCAAGTTACCGCGGTTTATGAATCCGCGTTGAAGCTAACGCCTGGGGTAACAACAGATGAAGGCCATGAAAGTGAAGCATTGTTATGGTGTCGTAAAACTCTCTGATTGCCTCAGTCTCGTAAAACAGCATCGTCCTACCGCTGTTACCAGTTCTACAGCCCAGCCAATTTAAGCTTGAATTACAAACAAGTCTGAGTTTCTTAGAAGCTATGTCGAAACTACATTATTAGAGCGACAAAAAATCGTTATTTTACTAAAGGGTATATTATAACTAAAAGCCAAACTATTACAATATACAAAATGAGAAGTTTAGTTTCGTTTCATAAATCTATGACACTGAAAGTACGAACTTCTTAGAGTAGATAGTTAATATCAGTAGTGCAGGAACTTCCGCGGGCCCCACACACTTTTGATTATTAATACTTTTAAAATTTATATGAATATAAATTATTGTAACTGCTGATGAGAATTCAAAGGGAAGTCTCTTTATTTGTTTTATATATTATGGCATGTAGACCCGTTGCTAGGCATTGGCCGCGAAATAAACAGCCTTACAATAGCTGTCGTTAAGTAATGGCTCTGTAAATAACAGTCGTTGCTAGATAACACGTGACAATTTGGTGTCAGAATTGTCTACGAACTTAAACACGCCACAAACGTGAATCGAGTATTTTACTGCTACAAAATGGAGATGCAGCAATGCTGATAGAAATGCTGGCAAGAATGGACGCCAACATGAAAGCCAACCAAGCTAAGACGGAGGCCATACTGGAGGCTGACCGAGAGGAGTGGAGAGTCGGCCAAGAAAAACTGGGAGAGGGAATAAAAGCCTGGCGAGAAGAAATCCGCTCAGTGCTGTTTGAGACAACGTATACCAGAAAAGGGACGATGGCCTGCCGAGAAATGGAGGCACGTCTAGAAGAAAAGCCGACCTCAGTGGACAGGAAACCTGAGGTGGCAGAAGAATAAGAATAAGGGATCCCCGTAGAAGACGCCACAGCGATGCCGATCGGGGAATCGAAGAGGAAATGGAGTAGGGACCGAAATCTGGCCGCGGAGCGCCGCCTCCAGGAACCTAAGAATAGGACACCGGAAAAGTGTGGATCCCAGAAGAGATTGGCCGTCGCCCGCAGTCTGCTTTTACCGGTTCTCACGGTCTCTTCGCTTGCGGATTTCTTATATTTTTCTTTCTGCCCTGAAGATGGAGGCGATACGTTCCTCCGAAACGTCGGTTAACACCACATATACACGGTGCCAAATCCCAGAAGACTGCTTCATAGTCACCGTCGTGAAAACCTCAAATCTTACAACGCTATTGATGATTTCCCAAATCACGATATATCATCACAGTAATCCTATCAGCCTCTCTAATACTCGCACGATTCAATTACTTTAGGCCGGCTGTACGTTACCTTTGGCGTTATTTTCTTCTGCAAGTGAAGTCTTCTTGGATAGCGTGAAGAGATCTCTGGCTGAAGAAATGTCAGCTAGCGAATTCATCTTCGCTTCGTTTGTCTGAGCTTCATCTAGACCGAAAGCCTTGTGAATCATATTTGCTCGTTCCTGGAAAGAGAAATATAACATCGTGAAAAATGAATCAGATTACAGACAGCAATGTTTTATTCTCGCCAGATATTTCCCCTTTCGTCCCCTTCCCTTGATTACAAGTGAAAGTGTCGTATGCCCTTTTAGCCTGCAACAACGTTCTTTCTGTGGGTCTGCAGGGGGAGTACAAGACAGTTTAAAAAGCTGCATCTACCTTGAACTGCTCCTGAACATAGTCACCAAGGCATTTTTTTTTCTATTGAAGAAGTATAGACCTGTAAATCCTGATGTAACAATTACTTTATTGTTAACTAAGACTAGAAAAATCCGTCTCGTACCGAACAGTCCAAGTAGCAGAAATGTTGCGAGAAAATTATGTCGGACATTGTGCATTGTCTGAGCTATATTTAATGTGCATGACGTTTCGGTAGTTGGTTCTGGTCTGCAGGTGCTTATCACAGTACTACAAGTTTATTACGCATTGTCACGTGTATTATTAGTGACTAGAGATGGGGTTCGCATCGGTAATTGGATTTATTAACAGCCCACAGGTTGTAACTACAATTAGTTATAACACTGTTACTGAGTTACACAACTATCACTCCACGCTAATCTCTTTAGTCTGTCTCCGCAAGTCTTCATGTATTTATAACACGGGAGCTATAAACGTCTCACTGAAGCACACACTCCAAATATCACTGCACTATAAAAAAAAAGTAAAAAAAGTAAAGCTATCCCTGTACCAGGTCGTGAAAGCCCATAGGGTTGTGAAACGTTGAGGGTCCCACATTATCTAGACAATCGGCTCAAAGATGGCGGTAAGGTTGTCAGCCTTATGCGCCGGCCGCGCTTTACTCCCCAGGAAAATTATTTAATAAATTCCTGGTACTCATTTCTTTTAGAGGCTGAGTAAACCCAAGGGCCTAGTGCGACTGGAAGGATTAGGTCAACTTGAACCCGGCTTGTAGCATAGCTCCTCAACCAACTACGTTACCGCGAGCGCTCATGAAACCTTCAAATCACACGTTCTGGTCTTCTTCCAATACGAACCTCCCGCGGCTGTCTCGCACCGAGAAATCGACTTCTTAGTCAAAGTCACATAGCGACTGACGGTCAGTCAGTAAGTCTTGACCTGGGGCTCATCACCAGATATTTATTACTGGTTGACACCCGTCCAAGGAGTCGTATCGACTCTGTATAGATTAGGAAACTTTAAAAGCGGCCAAGGTCCACTTGGGCTCTAGAACCATACAGGAGGAGGAGGAGGAGAAGAATGTCTTGAAATGCGTTGCCAGAATTTCCGCCCTAATGCGGGTGATGTTTACTCCTGAAGTTGAGGTGTGCATGGGATTTAACATAAATGTTTGCTGGGCTTCTGCCCCACTTTTAAGCCCCATTATTATAGCTTGGGGTGCTCTGCTCGTCCAGTGTTATGGCTGTACATTTAACATTTATTGGACCTGTGGTGCCTGGCTTATGTTCCATCAGTCGAGCTTTAGACGATGAAGTGGCAACGAAGTCCTTACTCTGCCGTCGCCTTCGTAAAATCGTGGCAATAAAACGGCGCCGTTAACTAACCAGTTGTGAAATATTATTCTTTTTTCCTTTGTGGGAGGACCTTTCGATAGAGCATGTACTAGCTCCGCTGTGTACGCCAATTTTGGTTCTTTTTTCGTCTGAACGAGACATGAGGTAGCGTAGATGGATGAGGCACTATGCTGCAAACTGGAAGGTCCCGGTTTCGATTCCCGATGGGTTCATTTGGTTTTTAAATTTACTTAATCCTTCCAGCCTCACTATGGCCCTGGGGTCGACTCTGCCTCTAACAGAAATGAATACCAGGAATCTTCCTGTGGGGTAATGGCGGCCGGCGCGTGGGGCTGACAACTTCACCGCCATCTGCAAGCTGATTGTCTGGAAAATGTGAGAGCCTCGACGTCTCACAACCCTATAGGCCTCCATGGCCTGTTACAGTGGCAACTTTGCCCTTTTTACATCTGATCACTTGGCAGGGAATATACGTGTAGATTTTGAGATAGGACGGGACTACGAGAGGTTCTGAGAGATCGTAATGCACAGGTTTTTCTTAAATATTTCTGGGTATATATTGAAGCTAACACAAAGTTTTCCTTATGCTTACCTAAGCAATCACTACGCCGTGAAGGTGTATGGAGGAGTATATATATACATCCACGTATTCTTTACCTGGGGACTGGTTGAAGGTGAGTGGTCAGCTTCAAGCCCTTACCGTTTTACCCCCCGGGATAGAGTCCCCGCTACCCATGGCACAGGAGGTTGAGTGGGCCCCAGTACCGGTCTGGACTACGTACGGAATAGGAAATTCTTGCCCCTACCGGGACCCGAATTCCGACCCCTCGGCTGTTCAGCCCTAGCCAGTCACTATACCTACTGAGCTATGCCGGTTTCATATTTATGTTAGCAACAACTATAAATTAAAAATTATTCAATTAGTGATTCATTTTTGTTCATAATTACAACTATTATGTCGATGGTAAATTCGTCATTTCTAACTTTGTTACAGTCTTCATATTTGTGATTGTTGATATACAAATGACGTTTCATATATTTGTGGGTAAATTTTTTCTTTTTGTAATTCTCTTAGTGGGGGGGGGG